GGCCGTGGCAGGTAACTTGCTTGTCATCCTCTCAGTGGCCTGCAACCGACACCTGCAGACTGTCACCAACTATTTCATCGTGAACCTGGCCGTGGCCGACCTGCTGCTGAGTGCCACGGTACTGCCCTTCTCGGCCACCATGGAGGTTCTGGGCTTCTGGGCCTTTGGCCGGGCCTTCTGCGACGTGTGGGCCGCCGTGGACGTGCTGTGCTGCACGGCCTCCATCCTCAGCCTCTGCACCATCTCCGTGGACCGGTACGTGGGCGTGCGCCACTCACTCAAGTACCCAGCCATCATGACCGAGCGCAAGGCGGCCGCCATCCTGGCGCTGCTTTGGGTCGTAGCCCTGGTGGTGTCCGTAGGGCCCTTGCTGGGCTGGAAGGAGCCCGTGCCCCCTGACGAGCGCTTTTGCGGTATCACCGAGGAGGCGGGCTACGCTGTCTTCTCCTCTGTGTGCTCCTTCTACCTGCCCATGGCGGTCATCGTGGTCATGTATTGCCGCGTGTACGTGGTCGCGCGCAGCACCACGCGCAGCCTCGAGGCGGGCGTCAAGCGCGAGCGAGGCAAGGCCTCCGAGGTGGTGCTGCGCATCCACTGTCGTGGCGCGGCCACGGGCGCCGACGGGGCGCACGGCCTGCGCAGCGCCAAGGGCCACACCTTCCGCAGCTCGCTCTCCGTGCGCCTGCTCAAGTTCTCCCGTGAGAAGAAAGCGGCCAAGACGCTGGCCATCGTCGTGGGCGTCTTCGTGCTCTGCTGGTTCCCTTTCTTCTTTGTCCTGCCGCTCGGTGAGTGACCCCTCTCCCACCGGCCCCTCCTGTTCTCCCTGAGCCTATGGCGGTGTCCTCGTGGCACCCAGACTTGGGCGACCCCCACCTGAACCTGGAAAGTTGGCTTAGCAAGTCCTGAGTCTCCTAAGAGGCAGGTGTGCATGCACCATTTTGTGGAGTGCCAAAGAGAGGGTCTTCATCCTCACCAGGTTTGTTTCACAGGCTTCTAACTTTTCTGTCCTTCCCTTCTTCTCTTCCAAGCCTTGGGCTTATGCTGCTGGCCCCTCTACAAATAAAACGTCTGTGAAAATCTGGGCGGGCATCTGCCCATATGTGGTCGGCAGTGTGTGTGTCCCCCTACAGATCCCCCTCCCTGGAGGTGGGTGCACAGAGTGGGTGGGCCTCCATGTGTTCATTCACGGGCAGCGAGCCCTGGCCAGTCAACAGGTACCTTAGCAGATGCCAGAAGCCACCCGCTTTTCTCCAGCACTCATTCAGTTTGGAAGCTGGCCCCATTTTGAGACCCTCCCCAGCTGTGTTTTTGAGTGCCCTGGGCTCTCATTTCTGAAATCCCCTCTTGGAAAGGAAGGAGATTGTGTAGCGATGAGAAGCACAGGGATAGGGATAAATTATCAAACGGAAAGTTCATATTGTTAATCGTTATTTCTTGAGCTTACTGAGTCCTTGAGCTCTTCCGGGGAACTTTCCTGCTTCTTTCACAAGCTGCCCTGCAGTCCTGGGAGGTGGGCAGCTGTTTTCAGAGGCCACCTTCTACCCCTTGAGGCCTCTCTTGGAAGCCCCGGGTCTGGGACTGGAGGCTGGACCAGTGCAAGGAGTAGAGGGGGAAGAGCATCTCCGGGACGAATTTGCCGGGAGTCAGATCCACCCATGGCTGCAACCTCCGCAGGCCCAAGCTGGGCCTTCTCTGCCTTTCCCAGGCCTGGACCCTTCCACACTGCCAGGCTGAGTCAGGAAAGAGACAATGGCCTCCTTCCTGTGCCCCCGAAAGCCCTTTCCACACTGCAGCCACAGTGAACTTTATATATTATAAATTAGATGTGTCACTCTCCTATTAAAAGCCCTCAGTGCTTTCCCACTGTCCTGAGAACAAAATCCAAACTCTCTATCATCACCTATGAGAGGGTGACCTTCAAATGCATTGTTGTCTAAACCAAAATAGGACACTATGAATATTTACATCGGGACCACAGGCTAGAACTGGAGCCACGCAGACATGTGGTCCCCCTTCCTACAATGGAGATCGCAAATGAGAGCTGTCTCCCTCTCTGCCCTCTCCCCCTCTGCCCTCACGGCCTTGCCGCTTCCCTCTGCTCTGGGTTCCTCCCCTCTGACCCTTCCCGGGTTTCTTGCCGGAGCCCACGCCTGTCGTCAGGCCTTTGCACTTGCTGTTCTCTCTGTCTTCACTGCCCTTCCCAATCCCTCCTGGCCAACTCTATCCTTTAGGTCTTAAATGTTCCCTCTTCAGAGGAACCTTCTTGGACCCTTGACCCTCAGTCGTGTCCTTGTTTTCTCCCTTGAAGCACAAGGTTCTCTTCCTTCACTAGATCATCGGTCGTAATTACATCTGTGTGCTGCTTGGTGTGTTTCTGGAACTGGCCCAGAAGCTGTGTGAGGGCAGGGCGGTGTCACCTGGGTCATCACTGAGTCCACGGCACTCAGCATGGTGCCTGGTACGTGGGGAGCAATAGAGAGCACTGCAGTGGGGACTACAGGCTCTGGCGCCAATCCCAGCTCTGCCTCTCTCCTGCTAGCTGTGTAACCATGGGCAAATCCCTTAACCCCTCTCTGCTTGCTTTTTTATCTATAAAATAGAGAAGAGGTGATGGTAATAATGCCTATCTATAGGGCCATGGTGGAAATGTAGCTTTTGTAGTGGATACTCAATACAGGGTAAGGAATGAATAAGTAACCCTTGAAAATCATCCAGCCAAAGGTTGTTGCAGGGATGGGGCAAGCAGCTGAACCTAAGCAACACACTAGGAGAAGGAGGTAAGTAAGCAGGGAGGAAAAAGTTGGTGCCCACCCCTTTAGACACCCAAGCCCATCCTCCAGGCCCATCGCCCCAACCCCTGCTCCAGCCTTGCCCAGCTGTACTGGGCTCCTGGGTACCCTCATTCAACCCCTGCCCCTTGGTTCACACTGGGCCCCTGTAGGGAATGCCCAACCTGTGTAGAATGCCAGCTCCCTGTTTTTTTTTCCTTTTAACTTCCTTTAAAATTTTAGTTTAATGCACAAATAAGGAGAAAACAATAACGCAAGAATCCACATGCCTGTAATCACGTATATTGAACAGATGTTAACGTTTTGCCATATTTGCCTTAGACCCCTTCCTCTCTCTTTTCAAATAAATAGAACAAGCCATAACTAGATCCCCTCCTCCTGTCCCTTCCTCTTTCTCTCCCTGCCTCCCCAGAGATAAATCTGGAGTTTATCACTCTTATACAGATGTTTATACTCTTGCTACAAACATCTGTATCCATAATAATATATTGTTTTGTGTGTCTTTGAGATTTATATGAATGGCACCATGCCATGCATATCATCATTCTTCAATTTGCCATTTCACCCAACATTATGTGGCTGAGATTTATCCATGCTGGGCCATTTTCACAGCAGTACATTTGAGAGTATTCCACAGTGTGCTGATCCTGCTGAATGTTAGGTTTTTCTACCTCTTCCTTGTTCCAATCAACACTGCAAAAGGCCACTGCTTTCTTTGAGGTCCACATCACGTGACTCCCTCTTCCAGGAAGTCATCCCTTAGTTTCCATGACCTTTGCTCCTTGCTGGCACGCACAGCTCTTTCTCAATCCTTACATTTCTGCTGTGCCTCACATGTGATGTAGGGAATTGGGGGTGGAGGAGGCCCTACCTCCTCCTTCCTAATGGTCTGTGCTGCACCAGGCTTCTCAGGGCACCTTTCCGAGTGCCTCAGAGCAGAGCCCAGGGACACTGGTGGAGCTGAATTGAGTTGAATCTGGCAATGATGAGCAAACAGGACAGAGGCCAAACAAGGAAACAAAATATTGCGATCTGCCCCAGTATGGCTTGGAGGGCAGAAGCAGCAGAGAGGGAGGGCAGAGCCCATTTGGAGCAGGAGGGGTCTGAAGGTTGTGCAGGAAGGAGAGGGGGCCAGGAGGTCCTGACACCCCTAGCATGAGGCCCAGGCCTGGGAGGAGGGATACGCCTTTAAAGGAACAGGGAACACTGAGCAGCAACTTTTGGGGGAAATCCCAGGGGCTGGCATTTGTTGGTATGGAGGTACCAGGTATGTGGTAGGGGATAGAGAACATTGGAAACTTGGATGCAGGGATCAAAGATTGGGATGGTTGCAGGAGCATGGGGTGCAGTCTCCCAGAAAGAGGAGGGGAGAAAAGAGAAGAAAGGATCTCAGGACAGAGCTTCGGGGAGCATTGATGTTGAAAGACCCAAAGGAGGCAGAAAAAGAGGCAGTCAGGAGGAGCAGGATGGCTGTTGAGGTGGTACCTGCCTTCTCCCACGTCCTGATCACCACACCAGCTGTGACAAGCACCACAGACGGAGAGATTGAGAAACAATGTGTATGCCAGCAAGAAATGGGCCCACCTAGGCCCTGGAAGTAAAGGCACCCAGTAGGGCCACAGCAGACTGGGGTGCCCTCACTCACACTTCCGCACACAAAGCCAGGTGGTAGCAGCAGCCACAGTGGCCTGGAGGGCATCAAGAGCCTCAAGGAAGGGCCTGGAGTCCCAGAGGAACATTGGCACTGTGAGCCATGGGCTGTCATCCGTAAACCTGGAATGCTGTGGTCAGGCCAGAGAGGCAGCACCACAGGCGGGCTGTCCTGAACTGTGGGGGCATCTAAGGACCCAAGTCACTGGCTGGGAGAGACTGGGACACAGATGTGGGCACCTAAAATCCAGAGAACCCCAGAGAGTAGCTGGGGATCATCCCCCACACTTCCAGCTGCCCCACTTTCCCTGTGAGGACAAACTGCAGAGCATGTCCCCAAGGCAGGCAGAGGGTCAACGAGCACCTTAGACCTCAAGTGCCCCGATGCTGCGATTTCAGGGAGCAAGGCCAGGGAGAGCAGCACCGGCTCCTCTGGGACCCCCAGGAAACTGCTGGTGCGGGAGGTGCGGAGGTGCATGTAGAATGCCCCTCGCCTAGAGAGAGGAGAAGGCACCCTCCTGCCGCGTTCCGTGGTGATGTCCAGTTTAGCCATCTGCTCCGTGCATCGTGACCCACGACAGTCCTATTCCCTGCCTGTGACCGGGGTGATAGCTAGTACTGCTCCGCTTTCAGTCAGAGGTGCTCCACTTTGGAGATGGAACGTAGGGACACCAATCCCTGGGGCCTGTGGAGGAGGCGCTCTTGGCAGCTCCGCCCATGCCAGGTACAATCCCCTACCCTCACCGCAGCAAGCTGGTGCAGGGCTGGGTGCCATGGAAAATCACAGGGAATTGTCTAAATCTGCCCTCCTCAACGGGATCCCTCAGCCGGATGCCCTGAGGAGCCCAGACTTGCAGAGTGAGTGTGGGAGGGGCCGCAGTGAGAGCCTGCTGCCTGCGGACTTCCAGGGAGGACCCAGAGAGAGGGGGCGTGGCTGGGGCGGGGCTGCGTCGTTGGGACAGGTGGGCCTGTTGGAAAAGTCCCTGATAAAAGCCTCTGCAGCCTCTGCTTAGAGACACTTCGTGCGAGAATCCCCTGACCCTACAGGTCTAGGCCAGTTGTGTGGTGTAGAATGCAGGTTATCCTCCCTCTGGGTGTGAGGGGTACCGGAGGGGCTGGGGAAACCCTGCCCCAGGCAAGCACCCACCTGCAGAAAAGCTTCCTCCTCTCCCAGGAGCCTCCAGAGGCCGTGTCCCTCCTGCCTGTTTTCATGGCGGCAGCATCTCACTGCCTTTGGCTTTGGGCTGCCTGGCAGGTGTCCCCCAGCCATGCCCAGAGGTGGACTGTCTGCCGAGACCTACGTACACACACACACACACACACACACACGCCAGCCCCACCCCTGTCATTCCTA